TTTCTGCTGCTTGGGGCGTCAGAGCGCTCAAGATGGCCCACGAGGTTCCCCTTAGAGGCAGGGTTCGCATAATGCCTCCCGACCATATCGGCAGACCCCTCACGCGTTTCGTGGCCCCTAGGGCGCTCCACCGAAGGCCCCAGTGCCAGGGTTCGCATACCGCCCCCCGACCATGTCAGCACACCCCTCACACATTTCGTAGCCCCTAAGGAGTTCCACCGAAGGCCCCAGAGGCAGGGTTCGCATAGCGCCCTCCGACCATTTCGGCACACCCCTCACACGTTTTGTGGGCTCTGGAGAGCTACGAATGCCCCAGTGGCAGTGTTCGCACACCGCCCTTCCGACTATTTCGGCACACCCCTCACACGGTTCGTTGCCCCAAGGGAGCTCCACCGAAGGCTCCAGTGGCAGGGTTCGCATACCGCCCCCGACTATTGGAGAGGCCTGACGGCCGGTGCCGCCAACCCTGATCGAAAGGGCTAGGAGTGGGAGGAGGAGGAGGAGGAGGAGAAGGAGGAGGAGGAGGAGGAGGAGCAGGAGGAGGACGAGGAGAAGGAGGAGGAGGAGGAGGAGGAGGGGGAGGGGAGGAGGAGGAGCAGGAGGAGGAGGAGGAGGAGGGGATGAGGAGAGGAGGAGGAGGAGGAGGAGGAGGAGGAGGAGGAGGAGAGGAGGAAAAGGAGGAGGAGGAGGAGGAGGAGGAGGAGGAGGATGAGGAGGAGGAGGAGGAGGAGGAGGAGGAGGAGGAGGAGGAGGAGGAGGAGGAGGAGAGGAGGGGAGGAGGAGGAGGAGGAGGAGGAGGAAGTGCATCCTTTGTGTGCCCGCTCGAAGAAAGTGCGCCTTGGGAGTGTGATATTCTGACTTGGGACGTGCTCCCGGAAGAGGAAGAAGTGCATCTCGGGCGTGCCCGCTCGAGGAAAATGCGCCCTAGGGGGGGTGGTATTTTGACTCGGGGCCCGCTCCCGGGACGCCTCTGCGGGAGGAGGAGGAGGAGGAGGAGAGGGAGGAGAGGAGCAGGAGGAGGAGGAGGAGGAAAAGGAGGAGGAGGAGGAGGAGGAAGGAGGAGGAGGGAAGTGCATCCCGTGCGTGCCCGCTCGAGGAAAGTGCGCCCCGGCGGGCGTCGTATCTGCCCCGGCCCCCCTCCCCCTCCCCCCCCCCTGCGGGGAAGGGATCAAAGGGAAGGGGCTTCCCTTCGACTCCACTAGGACGTCGTTTAATTTCGCTTTGGGTAGCGCGCTTGAGGAGGAGAGCCCTGGGAGGGGGAGAACGCAGACGACGGAGACGACGAGTCGAACGGAGAAGCCCCTCACACACGCCGACAGGGTCGGCGGATTTCGGCACACCCCTCACGCGCTAGGGAGCTCCACCGAAGGCCCCAGTGCCAGGGTTCGCATACCGGCCCCGACCATGTCAGCACACCCCTCACACATTTCGTAGCCCCTAAGGAGTTCCACCGAAGGCCCCAGTGGCAGGGTTCGCATATCGCCCCCCGACCATGTCGGCACACCCCTCTGACGGTTCGTGGCCCCCAGGGTGCTCCAGTGAAGGTGTCAGTGGCAGAGTTCGCATACCGCCCCCCGACCATGTCGGCACACCCCGCACACGGTTTGTGGCCCCTAGGTATCAACCGATGGCAGCACACGAAGTCTCTTCGAGAATGGTTGATCGAACAGATTATCTCGACACTCGTATCAGTTAGTGCAACCTTTTACCTGACCCAGGGGCCGCTGAACATCAAATGGCAATGGATCCAATCACGTGTGAAACAACTGCATGCAACACGCCATGTTTGCTGAAACTGATAAGTGTGCTAATACACGAGAATGCATCAAGATAAATTGATAGAATGGGGGTCATATTGACACGGGCGGAAAAGGAGTTAGCACATGTCATTTAAAATCGCATTTTGCCCAGAACAGGGCTCCCCAGAACTTTACCAGGAAACGAAATCATTGAACCTATCGGGAACGGGACCGCAACTAGAACAGATAAAACGTCATTAACACCGCGGGCCTCTTGCACAAGCCAGTCTGACTCGAATGTGAAACTCACCGGCGGTCGCGACATGAGGGGATGAGATCGAAGTGGAACGGAGAGCCCCCCTACCGGGAAATTCCCGGGAAATCGGTTTCGGTTTCGTGTTCGTGCGTGCCGTGCGTGCGGGCGAGGCGAAGCTGCGTGGGCGGGCGAGAAGTTTCCCGCCTCTGGCTGAGGAGCGGCCGGACCAAATGTTTCCTGTCCGGGGGCTGGTGGCGCGCGGTGTCCCGCAGGTGTCCCGCCGGTGTCCTGTCGGTGTCCCGATGATGATGATGATGATGATGATGATGATGATGATGATGATGATGATGATGATGATGATGATGATGATGATGATGATGATGATGATCATGATGATGGTGATGGTGATGGTGATGGTGATGGTGATGATGACGATGACGATGACGATGACGATGATGATGATGGCCATGGTGGTGATGATGATGGTGTCCCGATTATGATAATGATGATGATAATTATGTAGATGCTGCTGATGTTGCTGCTGATGATGATGGTGTCCCGATGATGATGATGCTGTTGATGATCATGATGATGTTGATGATGATGGGATGGTGAGATGATGGAGATGATGAAGATGATGATGATGATGATGATGATGATGATGATGAAGGTGTCCCGATGATGATGATGATGATGATGATGATGATGATGATGATGCTGTTGATGATGATGGTGATGATGTTGGTGTCCCGATGATGATGATATTGATGATGAGGATGATGAGGTGATGGTGATGATTTTGATGATGGTGGTCCGATGATGATGATGCTGATGTTGATTGTGATGATGGTGTCCCGATGACGATGATGGTGGTCACGATGATGATGATGATGATGATGATGTCTCGATGATGATGATGTTGATGATGATGATGATGATATTGCTGATGATGACGGTATCCCGATGATGATGGTGTTGATGATGCTGCTCATGAGGATGAGATGATGATGGTGGTGTTCCGATGATGATGATGGTGTCCCGATGATGATGATGGTGATGATGATGACGGCCTTGGTGATGATGATGGTGTCCCGATTATGATGATGATGATGTTTATGTTGCTGATGATGATGGTATACGGATGATAATAATGATGATGTTCATGATCCTGGTGGTGATGATGATGAGATGATGATGAAGATGATGATGATGGTGGCCGGATGATCATGATGGGGTTGATGATGATGTTGTTGATGATGATGATGGTGATGATGATGGTGTCCCGATGACGATGATGATGTTGATGATGATGACGATGATGGTGTCCCGATGATGATGATGAGGAGGATGATGGTGAGGTGATGATGGTGATTTTGATGATGGTGGCCCGATGATGATGATGATGATGATGATGATGATGATGATGCTGATGTTGATGATGATGGTGCCCCGATGATGATGAGGATGATGATGGTGATGATGATGGTGACGATGATGATGGTGTCCCGATGATGATGCTGATGATGATGATGTTGCTGATGAGCATGGTGTCCCGATGATGATGATGTTGATGATATTGTTCATGATGATGATGGGATGATGATGATGGTGGTGTTCCGATGATGATGATGGTGTCCCGATGATGATGGTGATGATGTTGATCATGATGATGGTGACGATGATGGTGTCCCGATGATGATGATGGTGGTGATGATGATGCTGATGTTGATGATGCTGGTGATGAGGTGATGATGGTGATGGTGTCCCGATGGTGATGATGATGATGATGATGATGATGTTGGTGACGTTGATGACGATGATGTTGATGATGATGACGTTGATTGTGAGATCGATTGTGATATCGATAGTGAGATCGATAGTGAGACCGAATATGAGATAGATTGTGAGATCGATAGTGAGATCGATTGTGAGATCGATAGTCGGATCGATTGTGAGATCGATCGAATGAAATATATCGAGTGAGATCGATCCAGTGAGATCGATCGAGCGAGACCGATAGTGAGATCGATACTGAGATCGATAGAGAGACCGATCGAGTGAGACGTTGGTTCCTCCCCCCCGAACCTCCTTATCACCCGAATGGTGGTCGTATAGGTATATATATATACACATACATATATAGATAGATAGATAGATAGATAGATAGATAGATCTATATATTTTATTTTCAGCACGCCCCGCGAGCGATTCGCCGAGCATAAACATGCAAGGTGTGCTCCTCCGAGCACTAGCACTCAGTCTCGCGTCGGCCTTGCCGACCATCATGTCCAAAACGGCCTCTGAGTTCCACTTCGTCGTTCAGCCTGTCACGAAAACTCCATGGGCGTACTCGGATTGTAGCGGCACTGCGACTGGACGATCACGTTGCGTACGTTTTCCTGCTTCGTCGGCTTCGGGTCGGTCCCAGTCGTGGTCGTCTTGACTTTGACTGGCACAGGTTCGATCTCGGGCTCCAGCGTCTTCTCGGTCTTCGTGTCATGCTCGATCTGCCTTGTCCATTGTGTCCACCCAACTCCAGCACGAAATCCACAGTAGAACGCCACCACGAGTCCCATCACGATGCCGAGACTCATCATCCTCATGATCACGTCGTTCCAGTCGGTTGGCGCCGGTCGGTTGAATAGCTCGACGCCGCTGGGCGTGTACTGCACCACCTGGCCTGCCGCGCTGCTGCCTCCGCTTGCTGCCAGCGTCGCTGCCAGTTTCGCTCCACTCGCGCCAAAATGGCGCTTGCCCTTGGCCTTCGCTTTCTCCTTCGCCTTCGTCACAGGCGCCGTCTCGAAGATGTCGTACAGTGCCTCGAAGGCGTCGTCAAGCTTCTTCTCGCGTTGCGGGCGGAGAGGAGGAGGAAAAGGCGGAGGAGGAGAAATTATGAAGAGGCTGGAGGAGGGAAGATGAGGAGGAGAGGGAGGAGGAGGGGGATGAGGAGGTCCCCCTCTCCGCTGCTGACTGCCTGCTGCCCGCACGCCCGTTCCTTTTCCCAGGAGGTGGCCAGCGGCGCGGCCGCGCCGAACGCGGTCACGAGCACCGACACGTTGTGCATCGGCCAGGCCGGTTGGGACGAGGCTCCCGTCGGGGGGGAGAGTGGTGATGATGGATGGTGATGTGGATGATCATGGTGGCGAGGAAGAGGATGGTGAGGATTGTGAGAATGAAGATGTTGCGGCGATGGTTGGCGTTGAGGATTCTGCACATGAGGCGGGTTATGATGATGACGACGATGGTGATGATGTTGTTGATGATGATGATGATGATGAGGATGATGAAGTAGATGATGATGATGAGGATGATGATGATGCTGGTGGTGATGATGATGATGACGGTGGTGGTAGTGGTGGTGATAATGTTAATGCTGATAGAGATGGTGATTCTGATGGTGATGATGATGGTGTTGGTTTTGATGTTGATGATGATGACGATGACGATGATTGTGGTGATGTTTTTGATGCTGACGACGACGATTGTGGTGATGTTCATGACTATGACTATTATAACTATGATGATGGTTGTGATGATGCTGCTGATGATGATGCTGGTGAGGCTGGTAATAATAGTAATGATGATGATGATGATGGTGATGGTGATGGTGATGGTGATGGTGATGGTGATGGTGGTGGTGGTGGTGGTGGTGATGATAATGAGGAGGAGGAGGAGGAGGAGGAGGAGGAGGGTGATGATACTGCGGATGAATACGTTAGTTCGGAGGCACGGATGGAGGAGGAACACGGGGTCGGAGAGGTAAGGATGAGGAGGAGGAGGAGGACCCAAGTAAACCCAATACTCATAAGCGATGATGCAATAAATCATCCCTGTAAGGTCCCTCTCCATCGGCCCCTACAAGGATTTATTCTCACTTAGGGAAGGTCCGCGTTGGAAGACAACCGTCTCGAAATCCTGAACTGTACCAAAGCACTGTTCCTGTGGCTTCAAGCGCCGCGAATCAGCGTTATTGTTACATCCTGACGATCCTGAAGCGTGCCGGATCCCCTTTCCTGGGGCTTCAGCACCACCAATCAACGTGATTGCAGCGTCGTGGAATTTTTATATCGTGCCAACACGCCATTTCTGGGACGTCAACCATGAAATATTTGAAACTTGTGTAAATTCCTGATTCGAATGTGCGCGGCGCTCAGGTGAGAGCCGCGCTTTGAAAATGGCCCGCCCCTTTTCGTGCAGCTCCTGCAAACCTTCAAACGAATCTGCGCGGCGCTACGGCGAGAGCCACATTTTGAAAACGACCCGCCCTCAATCCCTGAAATTCTGGCACATTGTATAAGACGAATGTGCGCGGCGCTACGGCGAGAGCCACATTTTGAGAAAGTACTGGCTCCATCCTTGAAACTCTTGCAAAATTGAAGAAACGAATGCGCGCGGCGCTAAGGCGAGAGCCACATTTTGAAGACCACCCGCCCTCCATCCGTGAAGCTCTGACAAACTTTGAAGACGAATGCGCGCGGCGCTAAGGCGGGAGCCACATTTTGAAGACCACCCGCCCTCCATCCGTGAAAGTCTTGCAAACGTTAAGGACGAATGTGCGCGGCGCGAGGGCGAGAGCCACGTTTTGAAAAAGAGCTGACCTCCATCCTTGGCACCCTGGCAACATTTTCTTCAATACAAAAAAACGAATGCGCGCGGCGCTAAAGCGAGAGCCACATTTTGAAAACCACCCGCCCTCCATCCGTGAGGCTCTGACGCATTGTATAAGACGAGTGTGCGTGGCGCTAGGGCGAGAGCCACATTTTGAAAACGACCCGCCCTCCATGTGTAAAGCTGTTACAGCTTCTCTGTTTCAGGATCTCAAATGGTGGGGAAGTCTCAGGCGAAGCTCCTGGCCCGCCCTACCGACCCGTTTCGGGGTTCGACAGGGAGATGTGATTCATAAGGAAAGGAGGTGAGAGGAGGAGGAGGAAGAGGAGGAGGAGGAGGAGGAGGGGGAGGAGTGGGAGGCAGAGCCCGTCCAGCCTCCATCTTCATCCTTCCCTTCCCTCTCCTCCACCTCCTTCTCCCCCTCCCCTCCTCCGCCTCCACATCCTCCATAATTACATAATCTGAATACTACTACCCTCTTCTCTCCCCTGACCCTGTCTGGAAGATCCCGGTCCCCCCATCGCGTACTGTCCTTGACACAAGAATGGGCAGAATTCTTCCTATGTGGTTTTGCAAGCGGTGTTTCAAAATGTTGTTGCCGCTGCAGCGGGGTCTCATTGTCGAATGGGCGCTGTGCTCCCGTCGTGCAGAATGGCGCTCTCGCCCCAGCGCGCACCACTTTTCTGGCTCCCAGTTTTTTTCATCGTTGTGGCCTCCCTCATTTCCCCTCCTCCGCCTTCCCCTGGTCTTTCTGCTCCGACTCTTTCCACCCCAGTTCCTGCTGGTGCTGTTCGTCTTCTTACGCAGCTCACCTTTTCCGAAAGCACACAACACGACGAATTTTGTTTTGAAGTTCCACGTCTGCTATGGCACGCGTCTGCGGATAGAGATTTTGTTCACAATGGGAAGGTATGGAAGGAGGGATATGATGTCAGATATGGCGCGAGCGCACCTAGCTTACCCTCCTCGTTTCGTCTGAGGAAGCCAAAGGCGAGCGTTTCGGGATCCATGCGCATGCGACTGTCAGTCAGTCAAACCAGGCGCCAGGGAACAGAGCATCGGCAAGTAATCGGCAGGAGCACGATTGGCTCACGGATTCCAGGGAAACATATTGGCAGGAAATGCGAAAGTGTTGCAGGCCTACACTCCATGGGTGCCAGCCCGGTGCACGCTCAGAATTGGCAACATGACGTGCGTCCTGTTAATCGAAATGAACGTGCAATCACATCAGACGGGGAATGTGCAACACCTCCTCATGAGGGACACTGGCTGCTCAACCCGATATCTTGGAGAGACGGATGGAGAGGAGAGGCTTGTGTTCAAGACCGGCTTCGAATGCCTCCTTCAACAGTGGGCCTGCGAGGCGCGTGACCTGGGTGTTGGCATGGTGCCGCCTCCGCCCAGTTCGGCCGAGCTTTCTTGCTTCTCCGGTGCCTCGTTCGTCGAAGACGGCCACGCTGTCATCGGGGAGCTGCCGGAAACGCTCCAGCACGACTCGCCGACACCGTGGTGATTTGTTCTCCGAGTGCACAATCATATGCGTGCGCGTTCCGGACCACTGCATGCACACAGGGCAACGGTCGATGTCAGTGAAGGCACGCATTGGTCTGCACACGCCATGCACAGTGAAGGCATGGGTCGCCAATTGTTGACGCTTGCTGCACGTGTACATACAAGTTGGGCATTGGCCATCTGCCGGGTCAGCGCCCAGGCCTGCACAGAATTGACCGTTCTCTCCCCTCGCTTCTTGAGGGCCGCGCGGAATCGTCTGGGGTTATTGCGGACAACAGAAGCCCACTCAGCAACCGCTTTCCGCCCGAATTCAGAAAAACCAGCAGCGCGGTCAGACAACATGTTCAGATCCTCGGCCACAGCTGCCATCCATGAGAGACGAAAACCTACTGTAGGTGGGAAAGCACAACGCACAGCGCTAGAGGGTCATTCAAGCACACTATGCTGAACAAGCATAGCCTCATGTACAATATCATTATAGCCGGGGCTATAAAATCACCATGTGACGAAACAGCAATGCGGGACTGCGCGGACACCATCTTGGCTAGAGCGGAAATGTTGGAACATAGTTTCATTACGACAGTGTGTACGCGAGTGAATTCATTGGCATATAGTTGTGGCCAAGTTCCTGCTTGATGCAAGCCCCGTGTAAATAGGATGCCCTGGCACAGCGCCATCCGCGTCTCGATTGGTACAGACTCACGGTGCAAGATGTTGTGGCGAATTTTCTTGAAAATCGAGGTCATGGCACCGATCTTGGCAGTGATTTCTGGTTGCGTAGTGTCCGTAGAGCACGTCAGGGTCCCCACGTGTTGGTCGCCTATCCGCCCCAAGCGACAAGAAAATGATGATGCCATCGTTTTCTCGGGAAAGGCGACTTCGCGGCGCCTCGACAGATCCTCCTCTTCCTCCTCCTGCTTTCTGGCTGCCGCGTGTCTCGTTCCCCCTCCCCCTCCTCCTGCACCGTCATGCGCACAGATTTTGGCGAGCACGCTGCCCACTCAGTTTTGTGTGGCATGCCGAGAGAGGCAGTAACTTTCTCGTTCGAGGCGTGCTCGAGGGGCGCGGTGGCGTGCCAACGGGTTTTTGTGTCATAACAAGCGTGAGGGGTGTGGAGCTTCGCCTTCTGGGCCGTCCAGCGGCCGAGCACCCCAGCGGCTCGCTGGCAGGCCTGAGCCAGGCTTTCCCTGGCCCGTGCTTGCTGCGAAAGGCTCTCGTAGCTCTAGATCCAGCAATTTTTTGTCGTGGCGAAGGCGTGCGGCGGTGAGGCGCGTGGTGGATGCCATTGGATCCTAGGTGGTCTGGTCTGGTCTCCTCCTCCTCCTCCTCCTCCTCCTCCCCGCCGCGCGTGTGAGACGTTCGGGGCTCGGGAGGCCAGCACTGCATCGCTGGTTCGTCTTGCGATTATCTCGATTCCGTCGTCGCCGAATTCTCCCGGTTTTCCTCTTCATCTTCCTCTTCCATTCCCCCTTCCCCTCAGAGGGCCCCGCGATGCCCCGAGCGACCCCTCGAGGCCGACATCGCCGTCTGCCCCTTTAAGGGCGCCCTGCGTGACCTGCGCATCTGGAGCGTCGCGCGCTCTGCTGCCGAGCTGCGGGCGCGCGGCGCCGCCGGGTAGACCGCCTGCGGCGGCAGACGCGGGCGGCGCCGTGCCGCGCGGCGGGCGCGGGCGTCGGGCAGACGTGCCGGCGGCCTGGCGCGTCAGAAGTCTGGCTCTCCGCATGCTCCTCCTCCTCTTCTTCCCTTCGTCTTCGGGCCCCAGAGCTTCACACCCTTCCCTTCCTCTTCCCTTTCGGCGCACTCCTCACTGGGTTCGTGGCCCTATCGGGAGCTCCACCGAAGGCCCCAGTGGCAGCGTTCGCATGCAGTTCCGCCCTCATTTCGGCGCACCCCCCACAGGGTTCGTGACCCCATAGGGAGCTCCACCGAAGGCCCCAGTGGCAGCGTTCGCATGCAGTTCCACCCTTCATTGCGGCGCACCCCTCACAGGGTTCGTGGCCCCATAGGGAGCTCCACCGAAGGCCCCAGTGGCAGCGTTCGCATGCAGTTCCACCCTCATTTCGGCGCACCCCTCAAAATGCTCGTGGCCCCAAAGGGAGCTCCACCGAAGACTCGCTCGCTCGCTCGGCCGTGCATCCGGTGGGACGCGTTGGCAAACTCAGGTTGCGACGCTGGCAACCGAACGGAAAACATGAACTGAAAGTGTACAATGAGTGCTGCAAAACTAAGAAGGGGGAGGGGAGGGATGAAGGCGAGATTGCCTCAGACCGTACACTGAAGAAGCCCACTGTTGTCGAGGCCGGCCTCGTCGTCGATGTAGCGCCCAACACTTTGGTGACCCATCTGGCTCGCATACAACTTGTCGCACCAAGGAGGGATGCCCACTTCTGGAAATCTTGAGGTACGCCTTCTCCTGCCTGTCCAGAAGAACATCCGACAGAGGTTTCGCGCCAGCTCTCTTCAGAATGTCTGCGTTGCTAACTCTCGAGATGAACGAAGGAGGTACGCCGACAATGCGTCGTAGACACCTGCAGTGGAAAGCATCAAGGCGCGCCCTGTCTGCTTTCAGTAACCAAACTGAGTCCAATGAGTAGAGCAGCTTGCTCACCACACAACTTGTGTAAATACTGTGCTTTCGCCGTTTTCCAATCGAGGCGTGGCTCCAGAACTTATCCAACTGCTTGAACATCTTTGTACATTCTCCTAGTCTCCGCGTCAGTTCCGTGGCAACTTTTCCGTCGCAGGTAATCAGTCCTCCTAGGTAAACAGCTTCGCGGACGGACTTGATTGCGCCCCCGTCTGGTCGTGATATTACGTTGTGTGTTGATATTTGCATGTGTAAAGTTTTGCCCCAGTTCAGTTCCAAGCCGTATTTCTGTAATAATGGCCAAGAGCATATCTTCCATATTTTGCTTGTGACGCGAAAGTAGCAGTGCATCGTCGGCGTAAAGGATATCGCGCGTCACGACATATGCCGGATCTTCTTGTAGATCGAGTTGGTCAAAAGCATCATACAGCATCACGCTCTGTACGACGATGAACAAGTATGGTGATAAAGGGCACCCTTGTGCTATGCCCGCCCGCTGTTGTCTCTCAGTGGAAGAGCCTGTATGGTCCAATGTAGTGAAATATCTCGCCTCATAAATTGATCTAATCATGGCCACCATATCTGTTGGAATACCAAAACGACCCAAAGCGTCGCACATGCAGTCTGGTTTGATCCTGTCGAATGCTTTGGCCCAGTCCAACATTACAAAAATTATACCACCATTTTTGTCTTGGTACGCTGCATCGATGATGCGCCGGACCAGCATGAGCGCATCTTGAGTGCCCCTCCCTGGTCTGAAGCCGTACTGAGAGTTTCGTAGTCGACGCTCCGCTCCGCCGTGTAGAAGCCTTCGGCGCAGTAGTGCTGCCAGAACTTTGTAACCCACTGGAAGTAAGGATATGGGCCTGTAGTTCGCCGGCAAAAGAATATTCCCTTTTTTGAATAATAGTATCACGTTCGCGCGTTTCCAAATTTCTGGAATGGCCTTTTGCTCCCAACACTTCTGACACATGTCGAGCAAAACGCCGCACGCGGTTGTATCAGATACCAATGCTTTCCAGAAATCGGGAGGTACATCATCTGGGCCGGCGGCTTTTCCTTTCTTCAGCTTCTGAAGTACAGCTTGAAGTTCTTCCATCGTGAAAGCGCTGGTGTTGACAGGAAGTGCGCTGCCCAAGTGCGCATGGTGATTCGGTCGTGTCTCTGGGAATTTGTACTCCCACTGTACGTGTTCAAAATAATCTGCCAGTATGTCTGCTCTTTCAGATGTGTCCGCCACGGTCCCGTCAGGTCGCTGTATTGTTGCGTGCTGCGTCTTTTTGGGTTGGCGCAAATGTCGGACAGCATCCCAATTTCCCGTCGCGGTAAGCTGATCCAGCCAGACTTCTTTATCTGTTTTGGCACTCTTGCGGATTTGTTTGTTCAATTTCTGCTCGTTCTCGTAGTCCCCGGCTCGACGGCAGGCATTCCGTTCTGCAATGAGTCCCAAATTACCTTGACTCGTCCAAGGGCGCCTCGCCCGGATCACCTGGGCAGGCAACGCTGCAGCAGCCTTCGAAAATGCATGCTGTAGATTCTTTGAGGTGGTTTCCAAATCGGCCGTCTGTTCTTGATGCATAACTGCGTTGATGAACTCCCCCGCAAATCCCCGCTGAATTTCTGAATCAGCTAAGGCTGCTTTGTCGAATGGTTGCTTCTGCTCTCTCTGTACCGTTTCGAACTCGATGTTCAGCTCAGCAATTAGAAGAAAATGTCGGCTGTTTAGGGCGTCGGACCGGCTGCTCCAACAGTCGGAGATCGTGTCCAGCAAAGTTTGATGACACAATATGTGATCAATTTGAGAGAAAGTGGAAATCGAGATATCATCGTCCATTGGGTTGATGCCCACGTTCCGGCACGTGATTTTCAGCGAATCGGGATGGTCATGGAAAGTGTTCGCAATTGCCAGGACGTACGCGACACACGTTTCCAAGAGTAGTTGTCAATTTGACGCTTGTGCCATGTAATTCCCATTCTGCTGCGCGCCGTACTCGCCAGAGGAGTTCCGAGGAGCGGCATCGAAGACATGAGGCCCAACAGTATGTTCTTCCCCAGCGCCTTGTCGCAGTAGCTTCGCATTGAAATCACCAAATACCAGAGTTGTGCTATGTGCAGTGGAAGCCCGGATAACCTTCTGCAGCTCGTGGTGGAAATATTGTAGCGTCTCGTAGTCGTGGCCGCTGTGAGGCGCATAAGCTGTAACCAAAGTCAGGATCCCACCTTTGATTCGCACTCGGAGAGAAGCTAACCTGTCAGAGCACGCTTTGAAGGCGGCCGTAGCTGCCAGGATGTTCGGGCTGACCAAAAAGCCAACTCCAGCATAGGTACGTGCATCCACATTCAAATTGCCAGAAAGAAATATCTTAAAACCATCTTTCATATAGTACTCTGCCCCGTGCAAATGTGTTTCTTGAACACAAAGAGCATCGAGGCTACGTTCAACCATGTGCTGGATGAGCTCGTCTATCTTGATTGCAGAGTCCCCGCGGAGGCCTTCTACGTTCCACGTGCCGATTCGCTCAATCCGACAAGGCGCGCAGAGCTGGCGGCGCGTATGCCAACCCAGCGATTGGAGAGCCTGTGTAGACGGACGCTCCAAGATTGGGGAAGACGCCGAAACGTGATTTGCACATTGATCCGGCAATTGTGGAGAAAGTCTCGACGATGTCGGCGTTGAAGTGCTTGGTGAAACAGGCCTGTCAGATGCAGCATTGCCCTGGCCTGGCAGAGCGGGCGCGGTGGGAGGCAGAGAAGGTGGAGAAGCGGCCATGGTAGATGATGTTGTATGTCGTTCGTCTTCGGTGCCGATGCCGTCGTCAACGTGGACGTGTACACATGCTGACGGGACTCGCTGGCAAGGAACTGACGAGGAAAAAGTCGGTCTCGAAGCTGGCGTGAATGAAGCTGTTGAGGAACATGTATCTTTGCCCTCTCAAACAGAAGCCGTGACGGAGGTAACCAAAGGAGTCGGTGGGACAGATCTGTGGTCATCGTCCTGACAGGTCGGAGTCCTCAGAGCTGGTATGCAAGAAAATGATGTAGAAGAAGCCGGGGGAGTACATGAATATGAAGATAAAGGAAGCGAGGTATGCTCGTGATATTGCGGCCTGGTAGCTTTGCCCACGCCTGCTGTAGAACGTGAGCTCGATTCCGTAGGTGTGAGCATGTCGGTAACTTTGCCCAGCATGCATCCAACACTATTTGGCTCAAGCGAAAAAGTATGAGGTGGTCCATCTCTAACGGCTCCGGTGTCAAGTCGAACCAGCCCTGACACCGACCTTGTTTCCTACTTACCTTTACCTTTTGCCGAGCCCTTCATACCCCCGGCAGCTCTTTGCAGGATCGATGTATTTTTGCTGATCAGCTCAATTAGCTTGGGATGCCTCTGAAGTTCCTCCCAAACTTCCCATTCAGATCCCCATTTCAGTGCAAGTTCGGATCCATGCACGGATACGGTAACTGCAATATCGCCTCCCACATTCATGGTGTACGGCAACTCATCAGTGGAAACATTGATCCTGTAATCGTTATGCAAATCTTCCTTCAACAGATATTTCAAGCCGAAGCAAAAGTTCCGCGCCGCACGTACCTCTGGGGGCCGGTCCTCCGTAACCCAGATCTTGGTACCTGCGTGAGCCGCCCCGGACTTGCGCAGCAGCTTGACGGCCAGGTCGCGGTTGTCCTCGCCATTGAATTCCAGGAACAAGAGATTACGGAATTCCCCTTTTGAGTAAACATCTCGCGTGGTCGGCGCCTTGAGCTCGTCCAAAGTATTTTGCAACCATGTTGAAGCTGCGGAGAACGAATCAAACCCAGAAAGATTGCCCACGACTGCTGTTACCAACCGTTTACCATCGCCATCAGCAGGCACACGTCTCGAGGAAAGTGGACGGAGGCCAAGTTGTTGAACTTGATGTTCCAAATCCCGGACTTTAGATTCCAAAGCAGACGTCGTCGAAGTATATGCTGCTGACCTTGCCGAGGGCGGTTGTGAGTGGTAATAGGATTCCAGTGCCTCCAGCTTGGTCTTGAATTCGTCGACTGTGCTTTGTAATGGCTCCACGGCGTTGCGGAGATCAGTTTGAGAAACGCCATGCTCTTTGATAGCAGCAATGTTTTGTTGAATAGGTCGCAACTCGTCCTTAATCAGCTTGCTGATGGCGTCGAGGGTTGGCAGACCTCCAGCAGGCGGGATACCCGGCAGAGGAAAAGGAAGAGGATGAGGCAAATGCAATTGTCCTGAGGGGCCTGCTCCTGACGATCCGCTTGTTTTCAGGTCGTCGCCGTCCAACCCGTCCATTTCTTGTAATGGGCTGTGGATCCTGTGCTGCTTGGCCATCAATTGCTTGACCGGGGTACCTGGCATGCGCTTGTCGCCACAAGCGTCTGAAGAGGGCATTGATATAGTGTCGAAGAGTAGGTGAGCTGGAAATGAGATGTACGGAGAGTGTGAAAGGGATGTGCTGTGTGAGGACGTCTTGGATTAATCTTGAGCCAAAATCGCTACGGTTGCTCACAAATGCGGCACTCACAATTGCATATGGTTGGGTCTTGCGCCAGGCTACGTTTGTTTCTTTTTTATATTTCGCATAGAAAGCCGAGACATGAGCATGCATTATCGGAGGTCCGCGCGGATATCTTGGAACGGCGCTGGACCGCCACACAGCCAGAGGCGCTGCCAAGGGGGCCCGGCGCCGGTCGAAAAGACTCGGGGCGGAGTTCCGCAGGTTTCCTGTCTGCCTGTTGGCAGTGCCGCCCCGTCCGTGCCTTCTGCTTCAGCTCGCCGCCGCGCTCGTCGCAGCCGCCCCGACGGCCGGGCGGGCGGCCGCTGCCCGCGCCCCCTTGTGGCAGGGCCCCGGGGGCAGGGCCCAGCAGCCGCTCTGCGAGGCGTCCCCGTGGGGGGGTTCGAGGCTCGAGGCTCGAGGCGAAGAAGAAACAGCGGAGATCCGCGCGGATTTCCTGCGTCAGCGCTGGGCACCTTGGGCGGCCGTTCGGGCATGGGGGAGGGGGAGCATCGACGTGGAATCGGCGATACATCGTCGATAGATCGGCGATAGGCCCCCGATGGTGAATCCGCACCTTCCTGGGCGGGTTGGGGCTATCGGGCCCGTATCGGCGATCAATGGGCGATTGGGGATCGATGCGTCCCCCCCTAATCCCTATCCCCCCCTTTCGTTGCCCACGCTACGCGCGCCCGAGGGGGGTTCCAGCGCCGATCCAAGAAATCCACGCGGATCTCGCAATTTTATGTTAATGCAGTTGTTCCGATTCCTTCGAGGATCCCAGACCTACGAAGGATGTTTTTTCCCAAACATCCTGTGGTGCTCCGTCCTCATTTTGAAGAGACAGCGCCCCGCGTTCCTCCTCTCCTCCACCTCCACCTCCTCCACCTCCTCCTCCTCCTCCTCCTCCTCCTCCCCCTCCCTCCTCCCATCCCTGCCTCAGCTATCCTCATCAGTCTACCATTGCAGCACACCCCTCACACGCTTCGTGGCCCCATAGGGAGCTCCACCGAAGGTCCCAGTGCTACCGCCCGCATGCGTCCCCCCCACCCGGTACAGCGCTTCGTGGCCTCATTACAGGGAGCTCCACAGGCGGCCCCAATGCTACCGCCCTCGTACGTCCTGGACACCCAGTGCAGCGTTCCGTGGCCCCATAGGGAACTCCACCGACGTTCCCAGTGCTACCGCACTCATGCGCCTCCCCCAGCTAGTACAGCGCTTCGTGGCCCCATACGGGGCCCCACCGAATGTCCCAGTGCTACCGCCCGCATGCGCCCCCCCCACCCATTACAGCGCTTCGTGGCCCCATAGGGAGCTCCACCGACGGCCCCAGTGCTACCGCCCTCATGCGCCTCCCCCACCCAGTACAACGTTTCGTGGCCCCATAGAAAGCTCCACCGACGGCCCCAGTTCTAGCGCCCGCATGCGCTCCCCCCCCGTTCCGTGGCCCCATGAGGAGCTCCACCGAAGGTCTCACAGCTGCCGCCCGCATGCGTCCCCCCCACACAGTACAGCGCTTCGTGGCCCCATAGGGAGCTCCACCGACGGCGCCAGTTGCACCGCCCGCATGCTGTTTCCCACCCAGTACAGCGTTCCTTGTCCCGATAGGGAGCTCCACCGAAGGCCCCCGTGGCACTATCCGCGTGCGTCTCCCCCACCCAGTACAGCGCTTCGTGGCCCCATAGGGAGATCCACCAAAGGCCTCAATGGCACCGTTCACATGCGTCTCCCCCGCCCAGCACAATGCTTCGTGGCCCCATAGGGTCTACCGACGGCCCCAGTGGCAAAGTCCACATGCGTTTCCCGCGCCCATTACAGCGTTTCGTGGCCCCATAGGGAGCTCCACCGAAGGCCCCAGTAGCAAAGTTCGCATGCGTCCCCCCCGCACAGCACAGCGCTTCGTGAGATTCGCGAACGTAGCGTAATTTACGGGAGATCGTGGCCTCGGGGGCGCGAACATGGTGTAATTTAGGCTGGATCGTGGCCTCGGGGGCAGCGAACGTGATGCACTTTGCAAGGGATCGTGGCGCGAATGTAGAGTAATTTGCAGTAGATCGTGGCCTCGGGGGCGCGATATGATTCTTTTTGCAAGGGATCGTGGGCTCTTGGCCTCGGGGGCGCGAACACAGTGTAATTTACGGTGGTTTCTTGCGTCGGGAGCGCGAGTTTCATAGATTGAGAGGCCTGACGGCCGGTGCCGCCGACCCTGATCGAAAGGGCTAGGAGTGGGGGGAGGAAGTGGAGGAGGAGGAGGAGGAGGAGGAAGAGGAAGAGGAAGAGGAAGAAGAGGAATGATAATAATAAAAAGAATTGTAATAATAATAATAATAGTAATAATAATAATACTAATACTAATAATAATACTAATAATAATAATCATAATAATAATAATAATAATAATAATAATAATAATAATAATAATAATATGCATAATAATAATAAGAAGAAGAAGACGAATATGAATAATAATAAGAATATTAATAATAATAATAATAATAAGAAGAAGAAGAAGAAGAGGAGGAGGAGGAGGAATAGCATCCTTTGTGTGCCCGCTCGAAGAAAGTGCGCCCCGGGAGTGTGATATTCTGACTTGGGACGTGCTCCCGGAAGAGGAAGAAGTGCATCTCGGGCGTGCCCGCTCGAGGAAAATGCGCCCTAGGGGGGTGGTATTTTGACTCGGGGCCCGCTCCCGGGACGCCTCTGCGGGAGGAGGAGGAGGAGGAGGAGGAGGAAAGGAGGCGAGGAGCAGGAGGAGGAGGAGGAGGAGGAGGAGGACCAGGAGTAGGAGGAAGTGCATCCCGTGCGTGCCCGCTCGAGGAAAGTGCGCCCCGGCGGGCGTCGTATCTGCCCCGGGCCCCCCCCCCCCCCCCCCCCCCCCCCCCTCTCCCCCCCCCCCCCCCCTGCGGGGAAGGGATCAAAGGGAAGGGGCTTCCCTTCGACTCCACTACGACGTCTTTTAATTGCGCTTTCGATAGCGCGCTTGAGGAGGAGTCGCCCTGGGAGGGGGAGAACGGAGACGACGGAGACGACGAGTCGAACGGAGAAGCCCCTCACACACGCCGACAGGGTCGGCGGATTTTTATTCAATCGCTTCGCTCATTCCGCCGGCCCGTATTGTGCCATCGCAGGCGTTTGCTTGCGCGTTCGTGGCCTCTTGGAGCCTCGGTGGGGCCGTTTGGGGCCTCTTGGCGCCTCTTTTTAGGCCTCTTGGAGAACTCGGGAGGCCTCCAGGGGGCCTCCTGAGCTCTCGTGACGGTCTCTTGGGGGGCTTTCGGCGGGCTCTTGGCGGTATTTGTTGGTCCTCTTGGGGCCTGGGGCCTGACGTTGTTGGTCCTCTTGGGGCCTCACGGGAGCTTATTGGGGCGTCTTGGGGGTGTCTTGGAGAGTCTCTTGGGGCCTCTTTCGGGGTCCTGGGCGCCTTCTGGGGCGGAGGGCTCGATTTTTCAGTTCTCGGTTCCCTTCTTGAGCCCCTCTTGGGCCCGTCTTGGGGCCTCTTGGTCCGCCTTGGGCAGCACTTGGGCCGTCTGGGGGGCGCTCTTGGGCCGCTCCGGGGCCGTCTTGGGAGCCTCGTGGGCCGTCTTGGAGCAGTCTTGAAGGCCTCTTGGGCCCTCTTGGAGCGTCCGGAAGCGAAAAGGCCAGAACGCAAAAAAACATAGAAAAAACCAATGAAAATCAACGATTTTGGCAACTTGGGGCCCTCTTCGGAGGCCTCTTGGAAGGGCCTTGGAGCGTCTTGGAGGCCTCTTGGGCTGTCTTGGGGCCATCTGGGGCGTCTTCGGGCGATCTTTGGCCGTCTCGGGCCTCTCTTGGACCGTCTAGAAAGCTTCTCGGGGCCCTCTTGGACCGATCTGGAGCCCTCTTGGACTCCGAAACAGAACTCCGGCATCTCTGACCCGACCTTGCCGGGACCTTGCTGGGGACTTGCCGGGGACTTGCCGGGACCTTGCCGGGGTACTTTTCGTCCGGGGACCCCCAGGGGCCGCCCCGCGCGCGCGAACTAGAAATACTGTTAACCAGGTACCGGAGATCTTAGCACGCCTCTGGCCCGTTGGGCCGGCGAATTTGTCCCACGGCCCCGCAGGAATTCAGACATTGCGACTCGGGGGTAGTAACCTGGTTCTTTTCGGCTCCCCCACCTTCGCGTTCAAGAGTTTCCAGTAGGAAACAAAAAGCCGGACTGTAATATAGGAGATTGGAAACTGGAATTGGTGCAGGGCACTGCAACCCTCACCCTCGCAGCCTGATGGCTCCACAAGGGGGCCGGCGGATCACGCGCTTCTGGGTGATTGCGATCATGTCCCGCACGGCAAAGCACCAGCTCGAGAGCGACTGCATCACCACACGGTGCGGAGAGGTTGTGCCACATGTATGGTTGAGCCCGATTGCCTTCCCCAAGCGACTCACCCTCCTTTTCCTCCACCGGCAAGCAGGCATCGCCTAGCTGGATGGGTATCTTCCCCGCGGTCGCCGCGCTGACGCTGCACACATGCACGGCAACCCTCCAGAGCGTCGAAGACATGCTGTACGACACGCCACCAGCTCGCCCGTCCTGGACTTTGAATCAGGATGCAGGGTGGAGCTAAGCGGTCATTCAGTATGATTGCCCATGGCGTTCGTACAAGGCCTCCCTAATCACGTCGGTTCGATGAGCGGGCCCCAGGCCTCATTGGGAAGGCCTTGCGGCCGGTGCCGCCGACCCTGGAGGCGACGGCGAAGAAGATGATGGGGAAGGCGCCTCGGGAGGAGAGGGAAGACGACACAGATGAGGAGGAACAGGTGCAGACACAGAGAGGAGGGAGGGAGGAGGAGGAGGAGGAGAATCTGACCCCCCCCCGGGGCCCTCCCTCCCCCGACGGGAAAGGGACAACGGGAAGGGGCTTCCCTTTGACGTGATGAGGACGTGGATAGAATCCTCTCAAGCTGCGAACCCTTTCCCCGAACGAGGAAGGGTGGTCTCTTTCTCTCTCTCTCTTTGTCTCCCCCGACGGGAGTGAAGGATGGGAAGGCGGGGACGAAAGAAGGGTTCACGTCGACGGGACTGGACCGACCCCCCACACACGCCGACAGGGACGGCGGATTTAGCTTTGCGCGATCTTGGCGGGAGAAGGAGGACGGAAAGAGCGAGAGAGACAGGGAAAGGAGGAGGAGGAGGAGGAGACGGAGCAGGTCCTGGGAGACCCCCAGAGGCTTTCGAAGGCCCCGGGAGGTTCAAAACGGGCGTCCAAGAACTTCGGTTTGGAACCCTCGAAAGTCGAAGGGGGTGATTCTAGGAGGAAGAGGAACAGGAGGAGGAGGAGGAGGAGCTTAGGGTCCAGAGCAAACCCAAGATGTATCAATGATGCTGCCACGCACTCTCCCGTCCCAAGTTCCTCACCTGATGGACTCCTTATCATCTTTACGCTTTGGTTCAGGGGACGAAGATTCTCACGGGCCGTGATTCGGGGATTCTGTGATTCGTTCGCCTTACTGCTGCCCCGCTTCCTCGCTCACCGCCCGGGCCCGAGGCGGGATAGCAAGTTTCGGCCGTGGCTCCGGAGGAGCTAGTTGTGCGTTTCCTTTGCTGGTCCACGGCCCTGCGGAGGAGCACGTGCTTGCACGTCATTTTGTCGGGGCGCCGGCGAGGCAGCGCGCCCTCCCGTGTCGCGGGCTTGGCTCACGGTGCGCCCTGCGCTCGCCGGTGCGGCTGGCTCTCTCACCCGCCCTCCCTGGGTTGGTCAATGTGTTGGCCAGCGGGGGTCTCGAGAGCTCGGGGGTCTCTCGGGCTTCCCCGTCTGGCCGCACGCTGCGCGTTGCCCAAAGGTCCGTGCGAACGCATTGGACCACCCCGTGGAGAGCGGCCGGGTACGAAGCTTCTCCCCGTGTGGGAAGCGCCCCCCTTTGACAGGCGAACGCCCCCCGGGCCTGCCATTCAGGCTAGACCCTGCTTTGGAAAGGATCCGCCTTCCACCCTTCCAGCCGTGAGACGTGCGAGGGTGTCAGGGAAGTGTCCAGCGAGAGCCTCGTTTCGAAAAGGACCTGGCTTCCGCCCGCGTAGGTGTTGGACACATTCGAAGTTTTGTCGTAGGTTTCGAGGGCGACTCGAGCGAGAGCTTCATTGAAATAAGGGACCGCCCTCCATTCGTGCAATCCTTGCGCACTCCTTGAGCATCGGGCCACCACTTCTTGACGCGTCGCGTATTTCCACCAGCCCTCATGTCGTTGATCTCTCGCGTGCAGACGCATCCCTCCGCAGTTGTTCTGAGGTTGACTCCGGTTGTCAATGACTTCAGGCGTACCTGTCAGCCGCTGGTTGCGTTCTCTGAAGCTGCGACGGTTCGCTGGCGCTGTCAGAGACCCCTCTCCTTGCTGGACGACGTCAGCTCTTTGCTTACGGTCTCGCTCATACCCGACAGACACCCTGGGCTCTCTGACACCCCTCATGCACGGAGACTGATCCCCACTACCTTGTGATTGTCGGACCGACACGATCCATGACTGGGGATGTGCGTCGCGCCATTTTGGCAGCGTCCTCCCTGCTTCCTGGGTGGCTGTTTCCCTTCATACTCCCTGGGCTGCAGTTTGCACCGCCGCCTGATCCGCGGCCCCCGCGCGCGCCCGGCTAATTCCTCACGGCCGCAGCCCGACCGTGACCCGCCGCCGCTGGCGCTTCCGCCTGCGGATTTTTTCTTTATATATATATATATATATATATATATATATATATATATGTATGTGTGTATATATATATATATATATCCACCAGCCCACCCAGCAACGATCATTGTGGAGTTGTCTTGACAAGGGGCGCGCAGCAACACGCAGAGGAGCTTATCCATGAGGGCTTCGCCCCCTGCCGCCAGTCCCCTCTCTATCAGATAGGAATTTATCCGAGTCGCGTCGGTGCGTCTCGGCGCTGCCTTGGCGCATCTGGGAACATCAAGCGGGGGCGAATAGGAATCATCAGCGCATATTGAGACGTTGGCGTTATCGAAGACGCCTACGGCAAATCACCGCCGCCCCCTGCCCCTTTGGAAGCGCCTCTGTGGCCGACAGCTGGGTCAGAGCTTGGCCAAGCTATCGGGCCAGTTGTTCCCCGAGTCGGTTTGGAAAGACTTCGCGGAACGCGTGGGGGAGCAAGAAGCGGAGGAGGGGGAGGATGAGGAACAAAAAGAGGAGGAGGAGGAGGAGGAGGAGGAGGCCTCTTGGGCGCCTCTTGGGGCACTCCTGGGGCCTCCTGGGAGCTTCCTGGGGGCCTCTTGGAGGGTTTGGGGGGCCTCTTTGGGGGCCTCTTTGACCGTCTTAGGGCGTTCCTGGCTTGTCTGACGCCGTCGGAAACCGTCTTGGGGGCCTGTCTGGGTCGTTTTGGAGCCCTCTTGTGGCATATCAGGGGTTCTTAGAAGCCATCTTCAAGAGGGCCCAAGGGGCTTCGAAGACGGCCAAAATGGCCTCCAAGACGACTAAGAAGGTCCCAGCCTGCCTCCAAGACGGCCCAAGATGCACCCAAGACGGCCTAAGATGGCCTCGAGAGGGCCCAAGACGGCCCAAGAGGCCCCCAAAAGGCTTCCAAGACGGCCCAAAAGGCGTCCAGGAGGTCTTCCAGGAGGGCCCGACGAGGCCAAAATCATTGATTGTCCTTTGGTTTTGAAAGCTTTCGGCATTTGCTTCTTCTCGGGATTCCGACAGCTCAAGACGGCGCAAGAGGCCCCCAAGATCGCCCAAGAGGCCTCCAAGATGGCCCCAAAACGGCCCAAAAGGCCCGTCTTGGGGGCCTCTTGGGCCGTCATGGGGCCATCTTGAAGGCCTCGTGGGCGATCTTGGGGGCCCCTTGGGTCGTCTTGAGCCGTCGGAAGGCCGAAAAGAAGCAAATGCCGAAATCCTTCAAAAACCTAAGGGAATTCCATGATTTTGGCCTCTTCGGGCCCTCCTGGAGGACCTCTTAGAGGCCTCTTGGGCCGTCTTGGAGGCCTCTTGGGGGCCTCGGGCAGTCTTAGGCCATCTGGAGGCCATCTCGGGCCGTCTTGGGTGCATCTTGGGCCGTGTTGGAGGCATCTTGGGGCCATCTTCGCCGTCTTGGAGGCCATTTTGGGCGTCTTGGAAGCCCCTTGGGCCCTCTTGGGGCCGTCTTGGGGCCTCTTGGGCCGTCATGGGACCATCTTGGAGGCCTCTTGGGCTCTTGGGGCGATCGTGTGGGCCGTCTTGAGCCGTCGGAAGGCCGAAAAGAAGCAAATGCCGAAATCCTTCAAAAACCAAAGGAAAATCAATGATTCCGGCCTCTTCGGGCCCTCCTGGAGGACCTCTTGGAGGCCTCTTGGGGTGTCTTGGAGGCCTCTTGGGGGCCTCTTGGGCCGTCTTCGGCCATCTTGAGGTCATTTGAAGCCGTTTTGGGTGCATATTGGGCCATCTTGGAGGTATCTTGGGGCCATCTTAGCCGTCTTGGAGACCATCTTGGCCGTCTTGGAGCCGTCTGGAGCAGGACAAACCCTTTGGAGCCGGGTCTGGGCAATCTTTCCTGGACCCCGGCGGGACGCGCCGGAGGCCCAGGGGGAGTTCTTTTGGAGAAAGAACCAAAACCAATTTCGATAAGGTTTACCACGCCAGGCACCCCTGCGATGAATCGACAGGGGGCGGCGGATCGAAGACGCCTACGGCGAATCACCGCCGCCCCCTGCCTTTTTGGAAGCGCCTATGTGGCCGAACGTTGAGGCCAGACCTGCCAAGCTGTCGGACCATGTGTTCCCCGAATCGGTTTGGAAAGCCTTCGGGGAACACGTGGGCATCTTGAAGGTCATCTTGGCGGTCTGGAGGCCATTTTGACCCTTTCGGGCCTTCTTGGAGGACGTCTTGGAGGGCTCTTGGGCCGTCTTGCAGGCCATCTTGAGCGTCTTGGAGGCCTCTTGGGCCGTTTTGAGGGCCTCTTGGGGCCGTGTCTTGGGCCTCTTGGGCGATCTTTGGGGGCACTTGGGCCGTCTCGGGCCGTCGAAAGGCAGAAAAAAGCAAATGCCACAATCCTTCAAAAACCTATGGGACATCAGTAATTTTGGCTCCTGGAGGCCTTGGAGGCCTCTTGGGCCGTCTTGGGCCATCTTAGGGCCATGTTCGGCCGTCTTGGTGGGCTCCTCGTCAGTCTGACGCCGTCGGAAGCCGTTTGGGGGGCCTCTCTGGGCCGACTTGGGGCCCTCTTGGAGTGCTCCAGGGCCGTCTTGGAGGCCATCTTGGGCGTCTTCAAGGCCTCCTGGGCCGTCTTGGGGGCCTCTTGGGGCCGTCTTGGGGCCTTCTTGGGCCGTTCTGGGGCCATCTTGGAGGCCTCTGGGGCGATCTGTCGGCGATCTTTTGGGGTTCTTGGGCCGTCTCGGGCCGTCGGAAGGCCGAAAGGAAGCAAGTGTCAGAATCCTCCAAAAACCTACGGACAGTTACTCGTTTTGGCCTTTTCTGGCCTTCCTGGAGACCCTCTTGGGGGCCTCTTGGGCCGTCGTGCTCCAGCTGCGAGCCACCTTCGGCCATCTTGGTGGGCTCCTGGCGCGTCTGACGCCGTCGGGAGCCGTCTTGGGAGCCTTTCTGGGCCGACTTGGGGCCCTCTTGGGGCGCT